ACAAACAATCAGCATTGCCATGCTTAGTGCCTGCATCGATATTGGATCCGAAACTATCGTTTCAATGACGCTTAACCACCTCGCCAAAATTTCCTCTGGATCCTTAAAGTTTCTTCAACCAGATAAGTGGAGCATGATGGAGTTCCGGGACAGAACTGCCACCACCATACAAGAAGTAGTGTCGAATGTTTTCAGAAGCGTAACTACTGCCAACAATTCCCTCTTTGTAGTGCAATAATACCCTCTGTGCTGGACCTTAAAGTTTTACTTCGGCATATGCTAAGACTTGTTCTGTCCCCATCGTGCATTTGCGAGATAACAGCTCCCATACCATATGCACTGGCATCTGTATCCAGGATAAATAAGCCTTCTTCCCTTGGAAATGGCAAAACTGGCGCATCTATAAGACACCGTTTTAACCAGCTAAATGCTCTATCCTTACTCACTCTGTCCACAAGAAAGCTACACCTTTCGGTGAGTGCCGATTCAAAGGGAAAGCTATTTGGGAAAAATCATTGAAATCTGACCCAAAGATTGATGACGTCATCAAAGGTAACACTGAGCTTTTCTTCCGCCTAAGTTTCCCAGAACCTTGTCCATGAGCCTTTCAAATGTAGCTGGTGCTTTAGTTACACCAAGCGGCATAGCGTTGAACTGGTACAACCATACATTTGTAGCAAATGCAGTTTTGTGTTTATCCCTAAGATCCATCTTTTGCTTGCCAATATCTGCTTGCCAAATCCAGAGTACTAAAACCACTTGGAACCCCCTAAAGTCTCTAGAGTTTCATCAATACGAGGTAAAGGATATGCATCCTTTGTACTGACGTTCTGCTAGCTCTAAAGTCCACACTGCTTTTCCCCAACTGCCCCGTCCTTCTTAGTCACCTAAGCAAACTGGAGCCGACCACGGACTATCACTAGGCTCTATGACACCATGTCCCAACATTTGTCAATTTCATCCTCTATCACCTGTTTCCTGCTCAAAGGCACTCTTCTAGCAGGAAGCTTAATGGGAACTGTCCCAGGGTGTCTATCTTATGAGTTTCCACACTGGTTTGCCCCAACTTCATGTCATCACCAACAAAAATATCCTCAAACTCAGAAACTAAATGGGTCAAGGCCTGTCTCTCTTCAACCGAAAGAGTATCTGAACTTTTATCAATCAAGGGCTACAAGTGAGAAGGAAACTCCTGCTTGACTGTTTCAGGTTCTTGATCTTGACACTCAACCACCTGTCTAATAGCACTGATGTTACCAACTAATGATCAGCTGTTTAATGATACTCCCTTGTTACTGAGGTTTAAAACTGAAACCACAACCTTATCATCCTAGAGGTCTGACTACAAAACTCCTAGCCACAAAAAGACCTCTACTACGCAACTGGTTATTTGGCTCAATCAAACCATGTTCATATGAAAAGGGACCTACCATTTTACATTCAATAAACCTTTCTGCACCTTCAGGAACAACAACTTTGTCCTGTACATCATGCGAGAACAGCTGTATGTTTTCTGCCTGAAAAGCTTGAACTTACCCCTGTGAAGTACTAAGCACCTTCTTTTCTGATCTTGATTTCACAATCATACGTCTCAAAGAAATCCATACTAATGATACTACTCAAATGCCCTAGGTCTGCAACCATAAACTCTTGCACAAACTGTGCTCTACCAACAAAGTAAACTCAAATGTTGCACAAACCATACACATTAACAGGAGTACCATTTGCTGTGAAAATGTCTATCAACAACACTCAAAGTGGAATCATTGAGACCGAACTTCTGAAATCCTGATATGACACTACTGAAACAGGAGAACCTGTATCTACAAGTACTGTACATATGCCTGACCCAAGCTCAGCATCCAGAAAAGACATGATTTATCACTAGTACTAACACGCAAAACCACTGGCTCTCGCTTAGTAGAACGTATGTAACATCTTCCCTGCAGTGTACCTTTCAGTCGGCCTAACATTTTGCCTGAAATTGGCTGAAATCTCGGCCTCGGTCCCAGCCTGACTTAGTTTCCCCCATTTGGTTTTGCTGCATCAGGTCCAGGTAAGTCTAACTTAGCTAGATGTGGACATTTATCTCTCATATGTCCAGGATCCTGACAAACGTAACACCTAAGTTTCCTAGGCCTCTGCAATGATTTTGCAAATGCTTCTAAACGCTGATCTATCAACTTGACAACAGCATCCACAGTCAAACCCTCATTCGACTCTGGTTCAGAAACCCCGGCAATCCGTTCACACGTTTCGGGTTTCCTGCTTTTATGTCCCTCAACTGCCTCAAACTCTACACCATGAGCAATAGCTTCCTCTAATGTTTGGGGATGTACAAATGCAATGTGTTTTTTCATACTGAAATTCAACAACCCTGTCAAAAACTGGTCTATGACATGTGGCTCAAGCGAAACAAAGGTGGCGTCTGGATACGCCAAAAGTGCCAATCTCCACAACTGGTAACCATAGTCAGACACAGACTCATCCTTGCCCTGTCTACGGCACCTAAACTCAGACCGAAAAACTACTCCTCTTTCTCTAGGATGGAACCTCTGAGTTAGTACACCTTTAATTGCACTGTAATCACTCAACTGTAATAACGTAAGGCTGCTGAGAAGTTTTTGAGCAGTTCCTTGCAAACACATGGCTAACTGTTGTGCTTTTTCTCCGCTAGACCACCCATTCCATGCAGCAACTTGTTCAAAATGAACAAGAAAATCCGGCCATTCACAACTTTTACCTTCAAAAGTATCTGGAATCACTTCACGACGGGTAGGTTTCGCCACGAATGGTTGCATAAATGAGCTATCACAATCACTATGATAAACCTTATCGCCTGTCCAGTTAGAATCTATCAAAGAGGTATTCGGCGTTAGACCAGGAACCAACCCTGTCTCTGAAGGTGCCCTCTGATTGTATCTACAGAATTCATTCTGCCTGTCAAAGTGTCTATCTGTAAATGGAACACCAAAATGTACAGAACGTCTATCCTGTCTATCACTTCTACCATAAGCAGACCCTTGCTGAAAATTCAGCATTGCTTCATTAACAGATGATGAAATACCAATTATCTCACTATTACCGGCTTGTGTACTAACACTTGGGAGTGCATGAGATGAACCAATGTTTTCAACTGAACGACAAACATTAGGTGTAGAGGTTGCAAATCCCACCTTACCTAAATCTGACAAGTCAATAAGAGCATGATCCAGATTATCTGGAGGGGACTCAACCTGATCATGTGCCATGGAATATAAATCACGTGTCACCTCTGATGCCATTGTCTGACAAGAGATGCTGCAAACCCCCACAAAAAATTCAATTCTACCATCTAGATATGCTCCATAAATATACTCTATAACCACTCAGTTTCAACACGATACACCTGTATGATGAAACATACCCTAATTCACATAGTAAAGCTACAAAATATAATACTTTATTTATTTTTGGAATTTCTGTTTGTTTTATTGTTGTTGTTGTTTTTTGTGTGTTTTTAACAAAATGAAATTAGATATTCTGTCAAGAATCAATTAGGTTTCACTTAGAAAATGACAAAACAATCCTGGTCACGGCACCAAATCTGTAATAGGCGCCCTCTAGTAGGCAACCCAGTGACAGGAGTTTAATGTAGAATGTACCTCGGTGTTTCCCTGTTCATAGTTGTATTATAGACTTTGCGTTGTGTACTTTTATTAAATGATGGAAAGCTTTAAAAACCAAAAAAATAAGGAAAACAAGCAAAACAAATGATAACAAAAACTAAACAAAATATCCCTCTTTCACTCGCTTAAAGAAACCTATTCCCTACACTAATTCCTAAGTTCTACATGACCTACTTAATTCCTAACACTAGTTTCTCCCCCAACCCACACTACCTACCTGTTAAACCCCGAGAAAATAAACTATGTCATAATCTGTTTTCTTACCTCACCCGACTACAGTATGAAACTACTTCAACAGTAAGAGTTTATAAAAAAAACGTAAACCAAACCAACGAGCCGTAGGGAACAACCCCAGTATAGGCAGTGGACTTACTTGCTCGGAACTCCAATACGCAAGACAACGGTATCGGTCGCATCAGGCTCTTATATAGCCCGTGAGCTAACCTCCGAAAGGTCACGACGAAGTGTTATGATTGGCTATGCAACAGTAAACAACTTCACCACAGCACTGCGCACCTTCCGCTTCCGCTCCCAACATGGCAACAACGAAGGGATACGACAGATACCCAGCTACCTTACGTGACCGACAAAGGAAATTGCCAAACGTGAGTAATAAGTAGAATAAATGACTACAAGATAACGACGTCAATACAGTACTTGCAAAATAGGCAGAAACGTAATTATAAGCCACCCAACCTATTTGTTTACATTAGCAAACCACGTATATAAAAACCACCCAATCTGCCGATGAATAAATATAAACAACTCATTACACTATAACACTATTCTATTCCACCCAACAACCCATTTCTAAAGTATAAAGTATCCGAACTCCTACACAGGGATAACCGTGAGTCAGTCGGCCAGGCAGCATCACGCTGAAGTCAACATTGAAATGTTGCTGCTTTTCATACATAAAAAAACAGCGAATCACCAAAGTGTATGTATTCTTTACTTTTTGTATTTATGGCACATTTCATGCTACAGGTATATTCTAAGCATCGTAATGCTATTACCATATATTTTTCCTATTTCATATAGATACAACCATTACTTTATGAATTTACTTTTGTTGTGGAATTTCCTAATATTTATGGAGATTGTTCGTATTTCATTTCTGAATGTTCACCGTAGTAATTTGGTCGATATTCATGGGAATTAGATGGTATTTACTTGAAATTTCTTCATGTATTATTCATATTAACGTGTTCATGAAAGTAGGTTGAAAGGAACACTGGCTCAAATAATTTTGTTCATTGGTACATTGCTTTAACATAACAGTTCAAAATACATGTATTCATGGATGACAGACAGACAGACAGACAAATGTAAACCAAATGTAAAAACATTCTGTAATGTGGGTCATGGCCTTGTATACTGAAAATAAATCTGTCTGTCTGTCTGTCTGTCTGTATTCATGGATGGACATAAAAGTTAATGTGAGATGTTTGTTATACATTTTGTGGACTAAATTTCATTGTTTATATGGATTTATGATCCCTTTATTTGTTACAGCTTTTTACCCTTTCTACCCCATCACTACCAAGACAAATGAACACAAGTCCATAATGTATATATGTATGGTAGCAATGTATACAACGAATAAAGGTGATGAATTTAAGTGGATTTGGGGTTCGTTATTTATCATAGTAAAAAGACTTTGTAAGGACTAAGGCAACTGTGGAATGGACGGTGAGAAGAGGCTGAGGACAATGACTGAGAGGGGTGAGCAGATGTATGAGACAATTAGGGACAGACATTTATCTAAGATAGATGAATCTTGGAATAGTCTTGGCTTACAGATTAAATGTGATGTTGATATTCTGTCTCTTCGTCGGGAAGAAAGGGCTTTTATGACTGACTGACTGAGTTTGGTTTTACGCCGCTTTACGCCGTTGGCTCGTCACGCCGAAGACCCGGGTTCGAATCCCCACATGGGTACAATGTGTGAAGCCCATTTCTGGTGTCCCCCGCCGTGATATTGCTGGAATATTGCTAAAAGCGGCGTAAAACCAAACTCAGTCAGTCAGTCAGTCAGTGATAAGCTTCACGACTTCATCGAAGAGGCCAGGACTGCAGTAGACAATGCCATCCAAAAAAAGTTAGAGACAGTATCTGATCATCTGTAAAGGGAACAGATGAGTGTTGCAGGAAGCAAACGATCGTGAGGATCATCTACTTCTGTACGTTTAAAGGCAGAATACGTCAAACTGTAGCTAGAGTTTGCAGTTAAGGAAAGCCTTGTAAAGAAGAGACAAGCTTTACTGGAGGAGGAAGAAAGAATAAGACTTGGCAGATTTATTGTCTGAAATTGAGTGTTTAAAACTGTGTGATAAGTACAGGTTATTGCTTGCATACTTTGATTCTGCTGTTGGTGTTTTGCCCATTGTATCTAAACTACCATTTAGCTTTCAGGAGAAATGGAGATCCACAGCCTTCAAGTATAAGGAAGATCACAGGGTTCCCTTCCTACCATTCAGCTTTTTTGGGAACTTCATCAAGGAACTAAGCCGTATCCGCAACGATCCAAGTTTCTTCGTGGAACAGGCAAAACTGAAAGAAGAGAAGCCATCCTACGACCAGAACAAATCAAGACCCAGAGTAGCGTCGAAGAAAGTTGAGGTAACATATCGGAATGACACTATGAAACCAGTTTGTCCTTTTCATAATACAAATCATCCTTTGAATCAACGTAGGGCATTAAGCACTAAAACCTACATGGAGAGAAAAGACTTTCTCAAGAAACATGGCTATTGCTACAGATGTTGTATGAATAACAAACACTTGGCTAGAAACTGTACAGAGGAAATTAAATGTGGAATATGTGGCACATCTAAACATCCTACATTCCTTTATTTTGAGTATTCTTCAGCACAATCTGAGGACAGAACATTACAGGAGAACGGTGGGAAGAAACCGAAGGACAAGGTGATCTCCAAGTGTTCACTGATCTGTGGAAAGACTTTTGGGGATAAATCTTGCTCTAAGACAGTCTTAGTGAGGGTATATCATAAGGACAAGCCAGAATTATCAGTAAAGGTTTATGCTATTCTGGATGACCAGAGTAATGTCACACTCGCTCGGCCAGAACTATTTGATCTCCTGAAGGTTGACACTGATGACATTCAGTATACAATTTCCTCATGTACAGGAACTTCAGACACCTATGGTAGAAGATCTTCCAACTTAGTAGTTGAATCATTTGACAGATCACACACTCTTGATGTTCCACATGTCATCGAATGTCCTCAGGTACCAGATATGAGGGAAGAAATTCCAACACCAGAGATAGTTCTTAGTTATCCACATCTACAGGATGTCCAGATTCCCCAAATTGACAATGACGCACAAATATTGTTGTTAATAGGTCGAGACGTCATTGAAGCGCACCATGTCTTGGACCAGTTAAAGGTCACATGCAACGTAAAACACAACTTTGCAGATTCTGATACCTTTCGGTATGGACATACCGAAACAAAGCGTCAAAAATGCAAATTCAACTTATAAAGTTGAAAAATAACGCGATGAAAAAAAACGCGCGAAATCGGGTTCAAACGTTTCACTAATTTTCCCCAGACTTTTCTGGGGAATACGGGTTTCAACAGCTGGGCTGCGCTCATAGCACGTGCGCAAGTAAATAGGTTCGCGCAGCTTGGAAGCGGGTTGTCGGGTGAATACTCGGTGAAGGCTTTGGTGTGAGCTATTTTTTCTAATGTTTTGTTGATATCTCACAGGCGCGAGCTTTTATATGTTATGACAGTAAATTAACTGTTTATATAATTTCATTTGTCTATTTCACCACACGTTCTTCTTACCGAGACACTTTCTCAGTTCGATACTTAAAAGCAATGTCATTATTTAGCGTTGACACAATTTCTAACTGTGATATAGATATGTCGTTGTCACAGACAAAACTCAATGTCTTGTTTTATTGACACCTGTGTGTCTGCCTGCCTGTCTGCTAATGAAAATATTCAATACACAACTGCGATCACTGACCACATGCAATTTGAACTTAACACCAATCAGGCTATACACCATAAACAAAACGCATTGATTTATGGCCCGAGTTCGGTCTCTGTCACATTATGTAATTACACAGACAGGCAGGTGTGATACTTGAACACATGACATGTTATGATGTCTGTTGATTGCAAAATGTTATACACAAAAATGAGCATGTATTTACAAAACTCAACATCTCTATATATACACACACAATGAGCCGTGAAGGCGGCATCTGCTAATGAACCAGCCGTTACACTTGAGTGCACACCCACCCGCTCTGACTGGGTTCGGTATCCCGGCTGCTTCGTTTCGAGGGAGGTAAACCCAAGTACAAAATATTGCACTTTTGATTTGCGATTATACGCTTATAATTTTGTTTATTTGTTTTTTCATAATCAGCTATGCATATTATATGTCATGAAGAAGTGATAATTGTGTTTTAATTATGTTTGATTTTTTGGTTGCATGTGACCTTTAATGGAAGACATAGATTTCTTACAGATAATGGGCAATGAGATGACTATGGGTCCAAAGGATTCTGGACAGCACCCCTGCCATTCAAGCCAGAGAGACGTCGTCTTCCACGTAACAAATCACAGGCTTTACATCGAGCATATTCAATGGACCAGAGTCTCAGAAAGATCCCATAAAACGCGCCCACTTCGTAGACTTTATGAAGAACATCTTTTACTCAAACAATGCAGAACTGGCACCACCATTAGATGGTGAGGAACATTGGTATCTATCGTACTGAGAGGGCGGGGCTATCTGTCCAAGTAATGGTTTGGGACCAGGTCCCCCCAAGGACTCCATTTGCAAAAATGACCCCTTGGGAAGTCGCTAATCCCGTACCACCATTGTATATATTACTACTGAGTTGCATGCAAATCTGACGAAAATCGGTCACATAGTTTCTGAAATAGTGACTTTTTTGGTGAGCCTGGGGTTGGTCGAAAAAGGTCAAATGTTAAACGTTTTGTTGTAATTAAGTCTTTATTATTCTAATGAAGTCAACAAGAGTTTTCCCAATGTCGTTTTTCCATAGCGTAACAATCTGCCAAGATGCATGCAAAATTACGAAAATCGGTTTAATGGTTTAGGAAATAATCACTTTTTAATGAGCATGGTGAGCAGCTATCGGTAGTTCCCCCGAGCTGCCCTGCTACCATCTTGTTAGGACGTACTTGTAGCGATGTGACAGCTGTCTTCATGTGAAAGAAATGCAGGTCTCAGCAGTCGTCACCTCGCTACCGTCTCGGTTTGCTCTGAGCGATCACTGTGGATGAGTATAAGTGTGGGCATGTCTCTGCTCGACTATGATGTACGGTCGGCTGACTATCTGAATGAAAACGCAGGTCTTGGCAGTCCTCTCGAGGGGTTGCTTTGGATGGACGAGTGTGCGTGTGTGCATGTGTATGTGTCTCTCGACTTGGTGTACGGATGGCTGACTGTCTGGCTACATTAAGCAGAAAATAAACATGCAAGACTGATAAAAATCGGCTCGGCTATGATGCACGGCCGGCTGACAAGCGAGGCGACAGCTGTGTGAAGCTGAATGAAAACGCAGGTCTCGGCATTTCTCTCGGGAGTCGCCTCGGTATGGCTGGCTATGTTATGTTGATGTCTGTGAATCAGTACATTGTGAATCTCCTTCTATGATTTGTTTGGTTGTCGTAATGAAGGCTTGTCAGGCCTTTTGCTTTCTTTGTCCTAGGAAAAAAAATTCTCGTCTTCGCAAATGACGGCGTTTTTACGAGAATTGGTCCGAATCTCTTGTTTCATTCTGTGATATTTTGCGATTTCTGATAGCACCAAACAAAACTCTTCCTCAGAGATTTTAGATTCGGTGAGCCCGGTGGAAATATGATCGTCTATCGTGCTTAACTTCGCTTTGGCTAGAATTCTAATTTCGTCGTGTTTCAATGCTTTACGTTGCAGTCTGCGAGACACGAACATCAACCCTATCACTCCGGCTGTTATTTCGATGCCTAATGTGTGTAACCCTTGGCCAGCTTGTGGTCATTCAATAAACCGACCTAGTTTTAACTGTTTGACTCGTTGTATTGTTTCATTATTAAGTATTATATTCATTCCCATTTTCAGTATTGTCAACTGTATTTTTGTGTCATATATTAGATGCAATAACTGTGTACGCAATCCCTTTGGAAATTGTAACACACCTTAGTTTGGTGCTAATACATTCTTTAACAAAAGAAACGCATCTGCCAATTTAGAAGAATTTATGGCGTTAGTTTAAGAACAATAATTATTATTTCATGTAATTTCAATGCTAAAAGGGTGAAACTTCACACGTCCGTTGACAAAGATACCAACACAACAACAGCCTTTATTGTTTTGTATTTCTGTATCCTTGAGTCCACAAGATGGCGTCAAAGTCAGTACTTTGTATGGCCACCATTCACAGCAATATGGGAGTTCATCCCACAAGTGTTCTATTAGGTTTAGACCTGGTGATCGGGAAGGCCATGGTGCTACGGTTTAGAATTTGCCTTGACTAAAGAGTTGTGAGTCTCCTTTAAACCAGCAAAATAAAATACAAACATAGTATCAGGCTATAGTATTCAATTAAATATTGAATAAACCATGAGCAAGGTTACAATGAATGACAGTACAAAGTTCTAATAATGGGTCCAATACACTCAAAATCATCGATGCGTTTCTTTTGTTGAAGAATATATATGGCTACCATGGTCATACTATGGCTACCTTGGAGTAGAGTAGTAAATGACACACATTACTTCAATACTTGTAACACCCAGCCTCAAACAGGTGCGCTATTCATATTGTTCACCGAAAGATCACCTCTAACCAGGTTATAATGTGACCGTTCATTATATATTCACCGACATGTCCCACCGAACCATGCTATTATGGGGCTACCAATCTTCTTCTTCCCCCTTTTTGGCAAACGAAACCTTGGATCAACAGTATGTGTTCGTTGCTAGGTAACCTGCGGTCTGTCATGAAATAATCAGTACCAGCTGATATCAGTGACAGGTATGTCTTCTCAATGATGGATGTTACACATTCCAAAGTGTAAAGTTGCACAGTATCCGTCGGTACACTTCTAACGTAGTCAATCCTTCGGGTACAGAAGTATACACCTATTGGGTGAGTGAGTGAGTCTAGTTTGACGCCGCTTTTAGCAATATTCCAGGAATATCACAAGAGTGGGACACCAGAAATGGGCCCATATGGGGAATCGAACCCGGGTCTTCGGAGTGACGAGCGGACGCTGGTATACAACTATTGCATATACCACACTGAATAAGTGGATAAGGTACGAGTGGTGGGCGGGGGCAGGGGAATCGATAATTGGTACATATCCATGTTTCTTGTGCCTCATCTCGGTCATACGTACATGCATGCATAAAGATTAAGAGAGGGAAACACTCTCAACAGGACTGCAGGAAACGGGTACGACTTACCACTTTTAAGTTTTATGTCGAGCAGAATTCCAGCCCCAGCCTTTGGTTTTCATATTATACACGTTTGAAGTTCAGTCAATTTGGCAGGTGCAGTGAAGAATACAATCGTGTCCGTGGATATTTGCTGGTGGACTTCAATTTACTGTCCGGTGGGACAGGTATTTTGGGAACACCTGGTGTCATCACTATTTGATAATGGTTCACAAACAGCATACAACTTGGTTCTAGTATTTATAAGTTTACATCTGGCAGCGATCATCAGCTCAGGTTCCCTTGATCCTGGCACAGTCAGGTTGGCCAGGCCCACCTTCAGCTCAGGTTCCCTTGATCCTGGCACAGTCAGGTTGGCCAGGCCCACCTTCAGCTCAGGTTCCCTTGATCCTGGCACAGTCAGGTTGGCCAGGCCCACCTTCAGCTCAGGTTCCCTTGATCCTGGCACAGTCAGGTTGGCTAGGCCCATCTTCAGCTCAGGTTCCCTTGATCCTGGCACAGTCAGGTTGGCCAGGCCCACCTTCAGCTCAGGTTCCCTTGATCCTGGAACAGTCAGGGTGGTTAGACCCACCATCAGCTCAGGTTTCCCTTGATCCTGGAACAGTCAGGGTGGTTAGACCCACCATCAGCTCAGGTTTCCCTTGATCCTGGCACAGTCAGGTTGGTTAGGCCCACCATCAGCTCAGGTTCCCTTGATCCTGGAACAGTCAGGGTGGTTAGACCCACCATCAGCTCAGGTTCCCTTGATCCTGGAACAGTCAGGTTGGCTAGGCCCACCATCAGGTCAAGTTCCCTTGATCCAGGCACAATCAGGTTGGCTAGGCCCACCATCAGGTCAAGTTCCCTTGATCCTGGCACAATCAGGTTGGCTAGGCCCACCATCAGCTCAGGTTCCCTTGATCCTGGAACAGACAGGGTGGCTAGGCCTATCATCAGCTCAGGTTCCCTAGATCCTGGCACAGTCAGGGTGGTTAGACCCACCATCAGCTCGGGTACCTAAATGACTAAATCCATTTACAATCATAAAACCTGGTTCCCAAATATTACAACCCCAAAACTAGAAGAAGAAGAAACGACTTGTACAGCATGAGTACATGAGTACATTACATACAGCTTTATCGAAGGTCGACATTCATATATAAGCTCATGGGTTGTTGTACTGTCCTTATCACGTGGGCAGGAGTGAGGATACCCGTGAAGATCTGGGTCAGAATTGGCATCCAATGTGTTTGTCATGGGCTCGAATCCCCTGTTCTAACTGGCTATGAATGATCCAACCGCAGCAACGATTCGGGGTAGAATTGGTCATCAGCAACCCAACTTGTCGTAAGAGGCGACTAACGGGATCGGCTGGCCTGACTAACCATTGTCCCTAGCATGGTAATCCTCCTTCAGTTGCTGGTGATCCCCAGCCCGTTTTATATATTGTATTGTCTGTACTATTTGTCTAATTTTAAAAGTTAAATTCTAGTTTTAATTCCCTGTAATAATCTAGTTTTTTTACTGTCCTTCATCGACAGTTTTTTTTATCATTTAATTGCGTCTATTGTTAATTTATAACCTTTGAAGTCACAATATGGCTGACATAATGCCGGTGTGGCAATACATTTTAACTCACTCTGACTCGCTGACCTGACTGACACATGTCATCGTATCCCAATTGCGTTGATCGATGCTTATGGTGCTTATATATATATATATATATATATAGAGAGAGAGAGAGAGAGAGAGAGAGAGAGAGTAACTGAGAGAGAGAGAGACAGAGAGAGAGAGAGAGTAAGTGAGAGAGAGAGAGACAGAGAGAGAGAGAGTAAGTGAGAGAGAGAGAGACAGAGAGAGACAGAAAGAGAGAGATAGAGAGAGAGAGAGAGAGAGAGAGAGAGAGAGAGAGAGAGAGAGAGATCCCCAGTATCCCAGGTAGGTGGCTCAGGATTGGTTGCTGGCATGAGTCCCTCGCCGTCATATTGCTGTCATATTGCTGTCATATCGCTGTCATATTGCTGTCATATTGCTTTAATCGGCGTACAGCCTGACTCTCACGTGTTGCTGGTTGCTGGAATGTGTCCCCAGCAGTGAAATTGCTGGAATATTGCTGTAATCGGCGTACAACCTGACTATCTTAACGCTATGAGAGCTGCGAAAATCTAGACCCTGGGGTTTACAAGGGGGTTTTGTGTCATAAATGATGCAACTCATTTCTTTGACTGGGGAACGGAACGATAAAAAATATGAACGCCATAAAAAACCCTTTCTAAATCTACAGGAAACCCATTCCAGGTTGGATCCA